GAGCAGAAATGAATTGTGCAGCTGGTTTGTGTAATTTCCAGACAGAGTATTGATATTGAACAATTCTGCAAAGCCCCAGATTTCATAAAACGAGTCCAACAAAATTAAACAGATACTTTTTGCCTCATGAGATAAAAACCACTGTTGAATGTTGGCATTGGAAGCAAATTGATCCTGCAACATCATGCAGTATGCACATTAATTAAAAAGAAAAATTCTTTTAACTTTGAAATAGCTAAATCACAGCTGCAAAGGCAGCTGCACAAATGACTCATTTACTTTTCAAAACAGCCTCAAAAATAGTGATGTATGTTAAACACAGGGAAGCTGCTTTGGCAACGAGGAGCAGAGGCCATAAGTAAACCCTTGCCAGCATTAACTGAAAGGCACTTCATGGGATATTTGCATAACAATGCTACAAAATGCAGCCTAAACACAATTGTGAGAGTTGAATCAACCACCTGCTGACATAATTTAAAATAAATGAACATTATAAGTTTCACAAAGGCAGTATTTATTCCAGAGTTGCTGAATTGCATTATGGGACTCCTGGTTATCACGCGTGTCTGTATGACTAGATATAAGTCAGCATAACATATAGTATGATAGCAGCATCAGCTTAAACAAATAGGGTCTGGTTTTAACTGTAAAAGGAGTTGTTTATGGTCACTAATATTGATTACACTGCACTGCAATGTATAAATTTTTAAAGTTGGTGCTATTGCCTGAGGGCAACACTAAGGCAAGTGCTGCGACAGGTGTTTACAGAGGCTACAGTAATTACAGCAGCATTACTTATGGGAAACAAATAGGCACAAAAACACACAGTGCACAGTGCAGTGTTCGAGGAGGATAGTGAAAGATGCTGATCTGTCTTTTCTGTTTTTAATTTATGTACCAAATTTTTGGCTCTCAAAGTTTCGGGGCTGAGAAATTAATTATTGTGTTTCAACCTCATCTAAAGAGCATCAAAACATCTAGCTAACTGTCTTCCCTCCTGATAAGTGATGAAACACAATATTCCCCCTTTATTATGATATGACTGTGTTATATAAATGCTGCTGGCTGCTTTGTGTCAATGTGCTGCTTTTCACAATGAAACTGTCAAATTAGAAAGCTTGAAAATACAAAGATTGTGAGCTTTCAGACTTCATCAAGGTGACAGGGTGAAATGTGAACATTGCCTGTTTAACAAAGATGACTTTTTCCTGAACGTTTTTAATATTTATTGGAAATTAGACGTGACAGTTCTCTCCTCCTTGCACTGTTTAGCCTTTGACATTGAAAAGCTGATATATTTGTGACTATCCAGTTGATGGCATGTTGGTGTTATAAGTCATTTACACAAAAGATTTAGTAGATTTTTCTAAGAAATGCTTCACAAAGACTATGGATTCACAATCAATGCCAAGAACTCGATTGCATTATATGACAATAAAACAGCAACTGATAAGGCAAGTTGCCACTCCCCCAGATGGGTTATTGCATGCATACCTGAAGCGGGCAATGTGACTAGATACTAGAATTTCTAATTTTGATGTATTAGCTTGAAAAATATTTTGAATATGACAGGAAAATTTGGTATTAACAGCATGAAATTCAAAATCTTACTATATAATGACGAAAACTCTGTCTGTGTCTCTGTTCCACGTTTTTCTCCTCTCTGACGTAGAGGGTCATGGGAGGATGCGAATGAAGCAATATTACATCAATTGGTCAAAGGGAGGCGCTATAGCAACCGATTGAAATTGCAAACTTTGAATGGGCATATCTCATGCCCTGTATGTTGGAGAGACATGAAACTTTGCACAGAGATGCCTCTCCTCATGAGGAACAAATTTACGTCAAGAACCCATGACTTCCGGTTATATGGATTTTTCAGCCATTTTGAATTTTTTGAAAAACACTTCAAATCGATCTCTTCCTAGGAAGTTTGATCGATCTTCATGAAACTGGGTGAACATAATCTAGGGACCAATATCTAAAGTTCCCTCTTGGCAAAAGTTGGAAAACTTACTCAAACTGAGCTTCTATAAGGCAATGAATATTGCGGAGGGCGTGGCTCATCACATAAAGGTGTATAACATCTCAAGGGTTTCACCCATCACCACGCAACTTTGTAGGTATATGACCACACATAATCTGAGGTGACCCCTCCATTATTGACCCCATCAAACAAAATGGGGGCGCTAGAGAGCTCATTTCTTATCTAAGCCTAACCGCCATATGGATTTTTACTAAATTTGGTAGATATGTAGAACAGGACGCCTCAAGGTGACTGGAGACATTTAACTCTAATTGGCAACTAGGTGGCGCTATAACAACAGAAACATGCTTGAAAATGGCTAAAATGCTACTGATCGCACATTAACTATCTGCCTTTCAACGTGCTACCTCAACTACTAATGTACAGTTTTACTATCCCACTATTGGCAATGGTACTACTGTACTTTCAATATAGCAATTGTACTATCAAATTCACAGAAACTCTGTCTGAATACATTGCTCTTCTTAATGGGTTCAGTTGACTATTTAATCTGCAGTTTCCTGACCTGTATGAAACTGTACGTGGACAACTGTGCACTCAATGGGTATGGACTAGTTTCTATTAAATGATGAATATAATAAGGCTGTAAGATGACAGTGACTTATTTGTGGTTAGTCACAGAGAACAGCAACATAACTGTAGTAAACATAACCAATATCTAAAACATATGTACATTAGAGAGGCAATCTCATCTGGCGACATCTGTAGTTAGAATCAGAATCACCTGTATTTATTCTGTTACAGGTGTAGTAACTGTGGTTTAATGCTATGGGCCTGGGAGTTCTGGGAGCAGCAGACCGAACCATTGTTGTTTTAAAAAAGAAGTCAGACAATAAGTGGCCTTTTTCCATCATTCTGGGAGCAACCACGATCTGATTTTATGCTGCAGTCTGCGGACAGCAGGACACGGTGAAAGTGAGAGTTGGTAACCTCGCCTAGTTGGAGGTGTGCAGCGTGTTGCCTGCAGCTCTTTGTCTAACCGCTCACTGTGGCTGCTCCTCCTTGTTCCATTGCTGCCTGCAATATGTCAAACTGATCTGCTGTCAGAAGATGCCAGAATTACATTTTTATAAACAGAGGTAAGGGCAGAGCTCATTTACAAACACAGTGCATTCCCTGTGCCCCCCTTCATGATAAAAGTTAGCTTATGTTGAACCAGTTAAATGCTTTTAATGTGAAGCTGCAGTTCTAGGAAATGTTTGATGTACATTAGCATTAAGTAAGAGTGAGAAGAGGTGGAGCTATGGGGGAACAGTGGTGTGTGTGTCATCATGTGATCATGATCATCAGAAGAGTGTTACCAGTGTAACAATACTGTGGAGAATGAGTACTGAAACCATTTAAAATATTCAGAATAGATATGTATCGATAATTCTGACAACACTACAGTGACATAAACCATGTGAAGGAACCTCTGAGCAGCACTGTGGAGTCCCTGAAATAGCACACCTGTCCGCTTTACCCTTACTCTCAGAGGGGTCAAGTCAGAAAAATGGTAGGTACATGTCTTTTGTTATTTACTTGACGTTTGTTCAGAAACTCAGCTCCACATGAAAGCCTTTACTCTTTCTTTCAACCTACAATCATCAGATGAGTGACCAAAAGGTGCAAAATAAAGTCACACAATTTGAGATGTCGGGCTGTTGGTCTTGATCCAATCGGGACCGGCTTAAATGAAACCAGGGAGAACAGGCAGTTGATCCAGTGCAAGCTAGTGATAACGGAGACAAATAGTAAGCTATGGCGCCAACGGAGTCACACACTACTGTCCAATGATCAGTGGGCGTTTGAGATACTCTCCAGGAGAGACATGGGGGCTGACAAAAACCCTTTCGATCAACTGTGCAATCAAGTGATAGCGATTAAATCACTTTCTCTGGGACGTTATCATTGTGTGACTGGTTCATCCATCTTACGCTCATTCGAATGTCTGTTGGTGGTTTTGTGGGCGCACAACGCGTGTGTGGCTCTGCTCCAAGCCTCTCAGGCAGGTTTTATGGCTCTCAGGGAAACAATGCAAGGCATGCTGTATGAAAGCTCCATTTTCTCCCTGTAAAGTGGTTTAAACACAACATGAGCACTCTGAAGCCCTTAGCTTACAAGCACAACTAAATTTTATGGTCAGAATCTTAAATGTTAAAAATACAAATGAGATGGGATGCAAATATCTCCAGGTATTGCTACAGAAAATAGTTTCCTCATCATTTGTCATGAGCAAATGATTAAATTGATGACATTGTGGTGAGGGTCTTGGAGTTATTAAATCATTTTATTCTAATTTTGCAATCAAGAGGGGGAAACTCAAGTCTGTTTTTTTTTTTTTAACAAGTTGACTTTTTGTAAACTTTTGTTATGAGATGAAATAGTTTTATTGGTAAATAAGACATGTACAGTAATAAGATGAAAATGAAATGTTATTGATAAATACTTTATATTTTTAAAGCGTAATATTTTATCTAAACATGAGCCGCGGTACTGCTTTTGTGGTCACCTTCAGGCCTGCCTGCCTGCCTGCCTCACGCATCTCCCTCTCTACGTGATGGAGGTGGCCTGGCCAACCGCACCAAACCCAGGCCTGTGGGAGAAGGGGGCCCGGGACCCGCCAGCCTTCCCTCTAACGTTTATACATATTATACGTTTTATACACCATTATAGATGGATTAGCAACCGTTTTACTTCTGACGATAAATAGTTTCCATCCTAGACTTGTATGGCTTTTTAAATTGTCTTATTTAAGGTGTGAAAAAAAAGAGAGAAGACAATACTGCGATATCATACCGTCACCGCATCCCTCCAAAATAATACCGTGATATTGATTTTAGGCCGTACCGCCCAGCCCTAGGACATCCCTAACTATAATATATGATTTGATATGATATAATGTAAATCAGACTTATTCAATCTAAAGTTATCAATAATGCAGTATGTGAAAATAGGAATAGAAAAGAAAGAATCAGCTCCAGCAAAAACTTTAATTGTTCATTCAGTCTAAGCAGGTGGAATGTACAGGTGTTTACAGGTCTCTGTTACAATAGGAATATATTACGATTGGTTGCTGAAAATACATTTGAGAAGTAGATTTTAACCTTTACCAGTGCATTTTGATTCTGAGCCAGCAAGAGTGCTGCACTTATTGCCAGTGTTGCTATGACCATAGCTTTGCTTGTAGACATATGCATGAGTTTGGATGATGGTTTTTGCTTGGCGGCACCCTGAACAGTTTGACTGTGCTGCACTGCTTCCCACTCCTCCTGGGTCAGGGTCATTGGGCAGAGTTCAGCCAGTACTTCCAGAGCAGCTCGCTGACCAGCTTGTACTGCGCCACTCATGTACCCACACCACAGGGTGGCTGTCTCTGTGCCTGCCCAGTGGATCCTGTAAATCAAGAAAATCAGTGAGCCATACTAAACACTGAGCCTTATGTTGCTGCTTGAAGAGGCCTTCAATTTATCCTCTGTTAGACTGATAACATCTCTTTTAGCCCATTTATGTAGTGTCTTAAGCCATTAACACTCGCTTACATTATCAGTTTACACGTGAAGCTGTTAACTAGTAAGATTTCCTTACTGACAAGCTGAAACAGATTTGTCCTTTGTTGGCGCTTATACTCTCTGTTCACTGAAATTTACAAGTACATGCTCAGCAAATGAGGTTGAGCCTGTTCAAGCCTGTAGGGACTGCTCACTGGGAAAGCTCAATAACAATGCAACGAACAAAGTCAAGGATATCTTATTAACCTTACAAGTTCCTGCCCATGGTGCCAGAATTTGTTGTAAACACTATCCCTCATCATGTGACTTGGAGTTGGAATACTGTTGTCAGAGTTAAACTTGAGCTGGAGTATGCAGACTGCAGGGCTTTGTCATTGGCAAGATGGTAGAATTCTCGGTTTGATTGTGTAACAGTCTCAAAAAAGCACTGTAAAATTAGCAGTCTTGTGCAACGGAAAAAATGGATTGGAGTCAATGCTTGGGAGGAAATATGTGGAGAGTGGGTGCTGCTGCTGCCAATTGCCAGGCCCCCGAGAGGTTGAAGACAATGACTGCAGAACTGAAGATGATGCATTATAGTCTCTCTTTACCAGAGGCACTGTGAAAACATATCACTACTCACCCCTAAATAATGGCAGCTTAGCAGCAGGTTAGCTACCTCTCTCAAAGCTCCAATCCATTGGTCATAGAGACAAGACTGAGGGAGTGATAGAGAGACCATTCTTTGGTCAGAGAAACTACTCCTCAGCACTTTGTGTGATGTTGTGAAGAAAGACGAGGTTCACACAAGGTGGTTGACGTGCTCGAATTTTGAGCGGGAAAAAATCTAATACTGGAATACCTTGAAAATAGCCCCCTTTTCTAACAAAATGCTTAAAAAGTCCTTGAAATTGAACCAAATAACACTGTCTTATATTTTGCTTAGAACCAGAAATTGTTCGGCTTTTGTTTTTTTTGAATTCTGACGCATTCGTCATAGTTTATTTTTACTTTGCTCAACTCTTAAAACCTGCCAAAAACCAGTCGGTCTGTGTTGCCATGGCTAAACTAAACATGAATTAACTCATTGAGCCGGATTTTCACCGTGATTTCTTTTCTTGTCACATTAGAGATGTGCCAATGTGATTGCTCCACTGAAAACTGAAAGTGAAACGTAAATTCCAGCTGGCATAATTTCCTTGTGCTACTTTCAGATGGTTCTTTTTTTAAAGGTGATTTCTCTTTTCTTGTGTTCTCTTTTTTTCTGGTAACGAGTTGACAATTCTGTTTGCTATCAGGCAAGCTTGGCATGGTTTCTCCCTCTCCTCTTGAGCTGTGTGCAGACAATCACTACAGCAGGTGTGGGGCAGTCAGGAGGACACTGCTCACTGCAGGGTTCAGTTGTTGTAAGTTTCTCTGGTTACACTGATGCTCTTGCAATAAAAATGTTCTTTGAAGATGGTGCATCATAGGGCTGCCCCTTGAAAGTCAGAAAGTTGGAGATTTGAATTCAGTCGGAGACCCCTCAGTCAACTGAGATTGCTTCACGTCAAGCAGTTGTTGTGCTGTGCAGTGTACCTTTGGGAACATTTTGGTCCCCAGATTTTGCTGCAGAGTGAGTGCTAGCAGCTCTCTAGTACAGACAGCTGCTGATGTGATGCAACAGCACAGAGGAGGAAAAACTTTCCACCGTAAGGCTACGAGATAACATTATTGACCCTTCCTGGCTTTTGTTTGATATGTAGTGGTGGCTATAGGGCTGCCCCCGAATAGTTGAACAAATGTTAGTCGACCAGAATAGTCTTTAGTCAGCAAGATTTCATTGGTGGCTTAGTCGCAGGAAAATTGATTTTCTTTGCGACCGTGCGTCATAGCAAGAAGCCACGCATATCACGTGAAACAGCGGAATCGTAACTTTGCGACAAGACCAACCACTTGTCGGTAGTCCAATGTTTTCACAGTGAAAAAAAATGATAATTTTACACTGAAATTATGTATAACAGAGCTTTCATACAGCTCTGCACACACATTACTCTTGGATGGATTACTCGCGAATGCAGGCTCGCACAGAAATGCCACGCATATCACATGAAAGCGCAGGAGCAGAGCTTTCCAGTGATACCGCACACATCATTGTGCTGTCATCCCATCATGCTATAAATCCAGATTAATTGTCTACAATATAAAAACCTGACGAAAGTCTTTACAACCCATTATACAGATCTTGTTATCAGTCACTTCATATAGTGAGGAATATCGTATCTTACCACGTCTTAGGCTTGCATGTGTTTCTCTCTGTCTATCCACATTTGTAGTCCATCTTTCAAGATGCAAATATCTCCATATTGTCCAGTTGACATTCCATCAAACTTTGTATGACAAGACCAGCCACTTCACCTTTGCGCACCCAGACAACTGCAGCCTAATGCATGCTGACAGGGCCGTAGTCATCATATACATTGAGGGGGACATGTGTGTCCCCCAGTGCCCAAAATGCCCCCCCCCCCCAAATATATAATTGAAATTGAAGAACAACAACAAACTTTGTTTACTGCAAACAAAGTGGCAAATATTATCTTGGAGGACATCATTGCACTTGGTTGACTATTTTTCTATTATCTTAGATGTAAATATTGCATGTTTCTTTCAGATAAAACACATTTTTGACTTGTGAATGAGTCAATGGAATTTCTTGCTATAATGAAAAAATACTGGCAATCATGTCCGCCTGGCACAAACCACATGTTTTGGACAGCTGTAAAGTGACAGAATGTCCCAGCATCATGGTTCTTATATTGCCAGATTTCAGAGAGTCTCCCCTCTTCATATATGGCAGAATATGTCATTTTCCAACTTGCTATGCTGAGATACATGTTAAAATGTAAGAATTTAGTAACACGGATTTGTTTTTTTCATTGATATAAAAATTTATATAAAATACAGGCACATAGAAGGACATGAAATGATGGCAAATCTGGTTAGCCCAGATTGTCCTGGAAAAAAAAAAGATACAGCAGGTGTATGTAGCCTTTATAATGACTGTGATATGAGCTTAAAAGTAAAGGCAGTAAAAATACCCCAAAAACGCCTAGGGCCCATAGGGTTAAAGTAAAACACTTATATTTGAAAAGGAATGCTTTGCTTTGAATGAAGTCCTTGAAAGTGAAAATAATAGTGCTTAAAAAAAGAACATAAAAGCCCTTGGATTTCATTTTGTAATTTCTGTACGAACCCTGCAGAAGAGAAGGTTCAGTGCTCTTCCTGCTTTGCTGGTTCAGCGAAAACTAAAAGCCATTGCTCTGAGATACAGATGGAGGGGCTGGTCTTTTGGCTAGTTTCTGTGGCACCACTGATTGGTGAGGTGGAGCTGAGCCACAGCCCAGCATGAATAATGCACCCTTTCAATTTTAGCCTTCCATTGGTTGCTTGTTGGGGGGAAGGAGAAGCAGCGTTAGAACAAAAGTGGAATATGAGAGATTCCCAGCTTCTGCTCAACAGCCGGCCACCCTGCAGCATGTGATAGATATGATCAAATGTAATCGCATGTTCTGATGGAGTGTATGACACTTTAGATTGGGTTATGCTTTGTGGGTTGAAGGAGTTGCATACAGCCTCTCAAGAGAAAAGACAGCCCTCTTCTAGAAGGTTAAAGTGCTCTACAGAAAGTATGAATTTATTAAAGACTGTTATTCAGAAACTTGTGCAATTATATTCTTGTACCCAGAGAGACAAATGATCTGTGCTCTATGAATACTTGTGATTATGCGTGCCTTAAGGCAAGAACATGCTAATCAGGGCTGCACATAGGCGAACATGCATGGAGGTCTGTTAGACATATTCACTTGTCTGTTTTTTCATTATTTTACAGAATTGGAGTATAACATGAGTGGGTTTTTGTTACAAGACCGCCTCCTAAAAGTAGCTTTATCAACCAGTCAGCTCACATGACACTGAGTTCGATGCAACGCAGTGTTGAAATTTATCTGTGCATTTTAGCTCCCCTGTGTGCGATTATGAAGTATGTAGTGCATGTCTTCTGAGAACCGTAATCCTGGGCTTACTGAAGGAAGCTAATAAGACTCAACTACCTACAGTAGGTGTCTTGTTAACTCCACCAAATTCTATTCTTTCACATCTAACGTACCACTGAGACACAAGACAGTCCACTGGGTCACCATTCGAAGGACACCATATACATATAGCGGATTACAGCTCATTTATTCACGAGCCCATCATATTTGCTTCAAGGCTCCTCTACTGCTCTATACCGGCCCCCATCCCTGTACATCAATCAGAGGAATGGAGAAGGGCTCTCCCTTAGCACCTTGAATCTGGCCAGTATCCTTGATAATTAATTTATGTCATCTGAACTGCAAAGTTAGCGGCCTCAGCAGCAAACAAGCCTCCCCTGGACTCAGACACACTTCCATGATGCTGTAAAGCAGGCTATGACAATGAATTTCACAAAGGGACGTTGCTATTTAGCAAGGGTGCTAACAAGAAATTGGATGAGTAGTCAGGAGTGAACAGAGGATCAGTGTGTGCCAAAGCTACGATGAGAAATGCTCAGAAGCATCTTGGGAGTTCAGTTCAGCCTACAAAAAGATTCCACTCGAGACTTCATCTGCAGAATATCCAAGAAGACGACCTCAGACTGAAAGGCCTTTTGGCAACATGTCAACAAGCTTGGAGTTAGTAATACACACTGCCTGCCTATCCACTGAGAGGCCTCCTCAGACTGATAAAGACTGCCTAAAAAATGAGTTTCTGAACGCTGCCTGACGACACCTCCAGTACAGGACCTCTGACTGCAACACTTGGTGAAATACTTTTGTTCTGTAATGGATTTAAATAACAGTGACTGAGCTAGAAGTGTGAAAAAACCCAGTAATCAATTTCCTTGAT